GCCACCAACACGTGGTCGCCTCTTGTTGTTCCCGGTGGCGCGGAGCGCGAGCAGCCAGCGAGGAACTTCTCCAATCCAATTTGGCACGCACGGCTTGAGCCGCTCCCCCCCCCCCCCCCCCCCCATGGTCCTCTCCATACAAATAACAAAGATCCCCCGTGTAGCCTTAACAGACTGTTGGGGCAAGTGCTGTTGGCGAGCAGCACCTGTGAAGGCCGGCACGGCACAGGAGGGGGTGGGTGGCCAGCACCACGCCCGGCCGCTTTTGTCTCCCCCAGTGGCGATGTTCACACATCGCACGAGGTACTCATTTGAGACTGAGTCGACCTAGGGGAGGCCCAGAACCGGTACAGATAATCGTCACCGGTGTTGCCCGTGAGCGGGAATCGAACTCCGGTCGCCAGGTTCGTAGCGCAGCGTAGCGCTAACCGCTGCACTACCGCTCCCAATCCCACACACACACAGACAAAGATTCCCCGTCTAGACTACACAGGATGACCGGTCAAGTGCTGATAGCGAGCAGCACTTACGAAGGCCGGAAAACGACACGCGAGAGGGTGCTGTGTGGCCAGGCCCACACTCGGCCGCCTTTGTAGAAATAGCAGGCTGAGTCGACCTAAGGGAGACCCAGAAATATTTACGGTCGGAAATCGAAGATTGAACATGTGCTATGAATAAGGGCTATTGCCCGAAACATCGCATACTATATGTACAGTTTCATATATAAAGCCACAGTGTTATTGACGGATTAAATAACTTTGTAAATTTTTTTATTTAAAGCTTTCGTGACTGCAGGGATTCATATTATTGGTTCTTTCGGTAAAGTCACGTAGAAGGGAAACAATACAATAATAATGTTTTATATTTTTATTATTTTATTGTTTCCCTTCTACGTGACTTTACCGAAAGAACCAATAATATAACTTTGTAAATGTTCGCAATCACCGGGAATTGAACTCAGCTCGCCGGGTTCATAGCGAAGTACACGAACTATTACGTCACCGCTCCCCGTACATACATACACACATGCATACATACACGCGTAGACCTCTAACACATACACATAGCCTGTCATCAGAGAGTCATGCAAATTCTAATACTCTTATACAAGCGCTAGAATATGACATTTGTGATAAATTTGGTCCAGCCTATATGTTTGTAACGAGAAAATCCGTATTATTTATGTCAAATATTAGCTTAGTCGACCTAACACGAGTACGATTCCCGGCAATGGCTACAAGTTCCCGGGCCTCCCCTAGGTCGACTCAGCCCAATTAGATGTCTGCATCCAACATAGCGGGTCCAACGGTTTTTCACTCCACGTTAGGAAACACGCGTTTAGAGCATTTGGCTACTATACATTTCCACGTGATAAGCCACTTCGTTGAGCTATCATTTGTGGCCAAGTCATTTCTGAAAAATAGCTCTATAGTATCGCTCCATGGGCCTTACCTGGTAAAGTATAAAATAGTTCATAGTTAGTTTCTGGTCGCCGGCTTTAGAGCGCAGTGCGCTAACCACTGTGCCACCACTCCACCATCAATACACACGCATAGCTAGCAGCTCAAACTCACACGCGAACGCATGCATATATACAATACATATAAGCGTTTTGTGGGTGAGCGTGTGAGTGAGTAAAGTAGTTGGTATAAATGGTAAAAACAAAAGTCTTGTAAGGGCTAGACAAATGTAATATCGTAGAAATATCGCCAGTGACGAATAGCTAGCTATAACTTCAACTATTCGAAAGTCAGGTTTATAATTACTTTGGAGCGCCCCAAAAAGTTGGGTCAAACATGCTGAACGCGTTCGCTCTCGAACCTTGAGCTGACCAAAATCTGTACCGTATCCGTAAATCTGGGAAAGTTTAAAATCGAAATATAAAATCAGAATTTCAAATCTAAAACCAGCATTTTCAATGTTGTTGGACGTGTGCAGCAATCGAACTCGGATTGCCGGGTTTGTAGCGCAGTGTCGTAAGCTCCTTGTATTCACGTGCCACGCACACACACAAAGATCTCCCCTATAGCCTTCACAAACTGTTGGGGGAAGTGCTGTTAGCGGGCGCCTATGAAGGCAGGCACGGCACACGAGGGGGTGGTTGACCAGCACCACGCCCGGCCGCCTTTGTTTCCACAGTGGCGATGTTTACACACCGCACCAAGTACAAAGTTGAGGCTGAGTCGGCCTAGGGGAGGCCCAAGATCGGTTCAAATAATTGTTACTGGTGTTAGCCGTGAGCGGGATTCGAACTCGTGTCTCTGGGTTCGTAGCGCAGCACACTAACCGCTACACTACCGCTCCCCACTATTCACATGCCACGTACACACACACAAACATTGACACTGATAAACACACACACACACACACGTGGACAAATCGTCTCTCGCTCGACGCAAACGCAACACGCGTTCCACACGCGGCGCGGTGAGACTAGAGTAATCGTGGAGGGCATGCAATCACACCTAATTGTACGTAATAGTAATTCTTAGTGGGTGTACAATAGATCATTATTATACACACTAATTATAATCAATTAATCTCCAGTGAATATGGAGAGGGCCGTGGCGCAGTGGTTAGCGCACTGCGATAATCAACCCAGGTGTACCCGAGTTCGATTCCTGGCCACGACTAACATCAGTGGCGAATGTAAACTTCTTTCGCACCATACGTAGCCAACCGTGCTAATCGGAGGTGCGCATGATACAACTCCCATTCCGTATCGGTCATGGGGGTTGTTTGGCCATATTTCACCACGCTGGTCAGCGCAGGCTAGTGAAGGGATTAAGGCTGATACAGGACCGATTCCAGAGACCGCTGGCCACTGATGTTAGCCGTGGCCGTCATGGTGTGTATACGAGGTGAGCGAATTAGCGGTGTGGTCAAAATAAAAATCATAATTATTTATCCTGGAGAAACCCGATGAGCTGTGAAGCTCTTCGCCACACATGTCGTCCAGCATGGGCGCGGGTCAGAGAGTTACAACAAACAATACAAACACACGGTAGGAGTGCAAAGCAAATCACTAAAAATAATTACATGAACTAAAACTAATTTTGTTTTTTTATTTTACCAGGTAAAGCCCACTGAGCTATGGGTTATTTTTCAGAAGCGACCTGACGGCAAACGATAGTTCAACGAAGTGGCTTGTCACGTGGACATTTATTTCAGCCAACTACTCGAAATGCGTGTTGCTTCTAAATGTGGAGGGAGAATCCGGGGGACCCGGAGAAAAATAATCCACGCAACTACGGGGAGAGAAAGAGGGAGACACAAGCAAACTCCGAACAGACAGGCATCAATCTTGATTTGAAGGCATCGTCAGAGTGGGGATCGAACCCTGTATCCCCCAAGTTTATGCGTTCAAACACAGCGCGAGATACACATTCAAATACGCAGCCGCACGATGTTTAATTAATACTGTCACGAATTACACATACACACCAGATATATAGACGCATACTAATCCATCCGTACGCCTTCACATACGAGTCTACGCGTGCATATATTTGTCTCCTCGGTACTGACGCTGGCACTGCGCACCAGATAATTGTTTAAGGCTGAGTCGACCTAATGAGGAGAGGACAGAGAACTGCTTCAGACATCGCTCGCCACTGATGTCGGGACTGCTGGCCGGGAATCGAATTCCAGGTCGCCGGGATTGGTAGTGCGGTGCTCTCACCACTGCGCCACCGCTCCCCATTCATATGCACACACACAGTGCACCCGTGTCTCCCTCGTCTCGTGTATCCACGTGACTGTGTCTCCCTGTCCCTGTGTCTCCCTCGTCTCGTGTATCCACGTGACTGTGTCTCCCTGTCCCGGTGTCTCCCTCGTCTCGTGTATCCACGTCACTGTGTCTCCCTGTCCCTGTGTCTCCCTCGTCTCGTGTATCCACGTGACTGTGTCTCCCTGTCCCGGTGTCTCCCTCGTCTCGTGTATCCACGTCACTGTGTCTCTGTGTCCCTGTGTCTCCCTCGTCTCATGTATCCACGTCACTGTGTCTCCCTGTCCCTGTGTCTCCCTCGTCTCGTGTATCCACGTCACTGTGTCTCCCTGTCCCGGTGTCTCCCTCGTCTCGTGTATCCACGTCACTGTGTCTCCCTGTCCCGGTGTCTCCCTCGTCTCATGTATCCACGTCACTGTGTCTCCCTGTCCCGGTGTCTCCCTCGTCTCGTATATCCACGTCACTGTGTCTCCGTGTCCCTGTGTCTCCCTCGTCTCGTGTATCCACGTCACTGTGTATCCCTGTCCCGGTGTCCCCATGTTCCCACGTCCCCGTGTCGTCAGTGAAGCACGTAGTCGGCTTTCGCCACCAATATTATCCATAATAGAGTTTGTTTTGGGTTAGCTCGCGTAAATATGTGTGTCGTGAAACGCGCCACCACCCGACAAACCCAATTAGTAAGGTTTGTCACATTCTTGGTTCTTTCGGTAAAGTCACGTAGAAAGGAAACAATAAAATAATAAAAGTATAAAACAATACAATTCTCACGACGTTTCGACTGCAACACAAGCAATCATCATCAGGTGTGAAAACCACAGCAAGAAAATTTGAAAAAAGTGGCTCGTCCATCTGAATAACTGCCAAATCGCTCTCCGTGGTGCTAACGTTAAAAAAACCAAGCATATGAATCCCTGCAATCACGAAAGCTTTCAATCAAAATTTAAGGTTAGTCACGTTTACTAAACGACACAATTCGTTACGAGTTCAGCACCACCGGTGCGTTGGAGAGTAAACCGACAACATTTACAATCCGAGTACGACGTTTCGCCAGTAATTACGACTAGCATCATCAGGCGACAGCCAGATTTGTGGATAAATCCTCCTCCTGTTTCGTTCCTTAAATCCCCGTGCCGCTCACACATCCCTGTGCCATCGTCAGGTAGCCGGGCCGTGTGTGCGCATCATCGCCGGCAGTCACACCGTGAATCGCGCCAATCATTGCCCCACCGCTCCACCCTACACGTGCCCAGCACTGGGCACTTACGCTCTCCAGACGCACGCGGAGGAGGTTAGAGCTGCCTCCTCCTCCTCCTCCTTAATAAAGCCGATTATGTGGCGTCCCAATAGATTTGCGCCGTGCCGAGCCGCATTCACGTCTCTCGCACAATAAGCCAGCCAGGGAAAGCCGTGCGCTGGGGCATTTCACACACACACGCACAGACGCGCACACACACACACGCGCGCGGCGTATCGCACAGAGAGACACACGCGTACGTAGATCGATACACACAACAGCAGCAGCAGCAGTGGAGCGGCGTATCGCACGGACTACAGCCGCTCACAACTGCGGGTCTCCAGTTCGACGCCTCCTTTCTACGTGGTCGCACTGAGATTGCTGCGGCTGCCGCTACACCTGCTTGTGCTGGGTTTTTTTTTCATATCGCTGCTGCTGCTGCTAACATAGCTGCTCGGGGCTTGTAGTGGTGGTGGATGCAGCAAATTGCGTTGCTTACTGCCGCTGTAGCGACTGTCACAGCTGCTGCTGCTGCTACTCCTGCTTGTAGTGGTTAGTCTCCTACTGCTATTGCCGCTGCTGTTGCTGCTATAGCTACTCCTGCTGCTACATTTACCGCCGTCGTTGCTACAGCTGCTGCTACTGCTGCAGTGGCTGCTCCTACAGCTGCTGTCTACGATGGCTCTGCCGTGTTCGAACTGCGACGGTGGCTCCATTGGCCGTGTGGCCTGGGCCGGTATAAGTTCGAGTCTGGGTGACGTTACGAAGAAGAGGCGCTGGACGATGATGATAACGACGATGATGAGCATGATGATGATGAGGAGGAGGAGGATCGTTGTGGTGGTGATGATGTTGATGACGGCGATGATAACATCGGCGGACGACGCGATCCCACGGGAGGATCTGGCTGAACCCCGATTTGGACGGCTCCCGGCGGCCCAACGGGGTCTGGGATGTGGGGATCTCGAGACGCGGAACCGGTAAGAGGACACGGGGACACGGGGACATGGGGACACAGGGACATGGGGACACGGGGACATGGGGACACGTGGACACAAAGACACGGGGACACGTGGTCACAAAGACATGGGGACACGGGGACATGGGGACACGTGGACACAGGGACATGGGGACACGGGGACATGGGGACACAAAGACATGGTGACACGGGGACATGGGGACACGGGGACATGGGGACACGGGGACATGGGGACACGTGGACACAAAGACACGGGGACACGTGGACACAGGGACACGGGGACATGGGGACACAAAGACATGGGGACACGGGGACATGGGGACACGGGGACATGGGGACACGGGGACATGGGGCACGGGGACATGGGGACACGTGGACACAAAGACACGGGGACACGTGGACACAGGGACATGGGGACACAAAAACATGGGGACACGGGGACATGGGGAGACATGGACACAGGGACATGGGGACACGTGGACACAAAGACATGGGGACACGTGGACACAAAGACATGGGGACACGTGGACACAAAGACATGGGGACACGTGGACACAAAGACATGGGGACACGTGGACACAAAGACATGGGGACACGTGGACACAAAGACATGGGGGCATGGGGACACGGGGATAGTGGAACACAGAGACATGGAGACACGGGGACATGGGGATAGTGGAACACAGAGACATGGAGACACGGGGACACAAAGACATGGGGACACGGGGATAGTGGAACACAGAGACATGGAGACACGGGGACATGGGGATAGTGGAACACAGAGACATGGAGACACGGGGACATGGGGACACGGGGATACGCGGACATAGCGATATGTTAGAATTGAGAGATTAGTACGCTGGGATAAGGAGACATGGAGGTAAGCGGACACGGGTACACGGGACCGTGCGCGTGTCTGTATAAATGTGAAAGGTGGCACAGTGGTTGGCGCACAACGCCTAAGACCGTGGCCATCCGGGTTCAATGCCCAGCCACGGCAAACGCAACATGAAATGGGTACACGTCACGGCGTGTAGACATCAGCACGGGAGAGACAAAGGCGGCCAGTTGTGATAGCCGCACAACTTACATGTGCGCCGCATAAGGCTCAAGGTGTGCTTGCTAACAGCACCTGCCCAGACAGAGTCCACATCGTCCACCGGCTTTGTCTTTTTCCGTGCACATCGGTGGCAGCTTGAATCATTGCCTCCCCTAGGTCGACTCAGCCTTAAATTAATACCACTTTCGGCTACATGCTCATGAACATCGCATTAGGAGGCAGCCGCGTGTGTATATTTGTGTGTGTGTGTGTGCGCTACGAATCCGGCGACCCGAGTTCGAATCCCGCTCACGACCAACGCCGGTGACGATTATCTGAATCGGTCCTGGGCCTACCCTAGGTTGACTCGGTCTCAAATGGGTACGTGGTGCGATGTGGAAACATCGCCAATGGGGAGACAAAGGCGGTCGGGCGCCGTGATGGCCACCCACCCCCTCTCAGTGTGGCGTGCTGCTGCTACTGACTGACCGTGCCTGACTAAACGTTGATGGCCGTCACTCAGTGATTTATGTAAAATTATAATGACGTCTTCGGAAGGCTAGCCAGAGAGGTGACATTTAGCACGGATTAAATGTAATCTATCCTCACAACTAGAAATAATCCGAAAATCGAAAAGTGCAAACTATATTTTAAAAAAATAAATCCAAATTAGGATTAGAAAAATGACAGCGGAGAGATTTGATTGATTGCTCTGACAGTGCAGGGTCAGCCCAGAGTTCCACATCGCTCTAAGTCTCGCGCCAAGCGCTTACAAAAAGAAAAACACACGACCCAAACAAATGACCTACAAGTGAACCGAGTAATTCGCCTTCGTTGGAGTGTGACGCTAAAGCCGATAGAAAGCGCACGAAGCTTAACCGTGGGGTTCACTTCGCGCTTTCGTCGGCCGCTCTGTGAGCCCGGTGACCCGAGTTCGATTCCTGGTCACGTTGTGGCATTGGTTGCATCGGGGATCCCCAACCCCCGGGCCGCGAACAGGTTCCGGTCCGTGGCCTGTTAGGAACCGGGCCGCACAGGAGCAGCAGCAGGAGGTGAGAGCGGTGAGTCCGCGCGTGACCAGCCCCCATGATTTTGTTATTTACCACTTCCATCCGAGCCTCTTTCCCGCACTGTGCACTTGCCTCAGTCACAGTGTTGGTAAGCCCACAAGCTCTAACCCCCTAGTAGCCAACATGAGTTAAAAAAAAAACAAACGTCGCTGGAGAGCTTCTTTGAAAAGGGGGACAGACCCAATGATGACCTCCCCCACACCCCACACGGGGGGGGGGGTGTGGGGGAGGTTGTGGACCGCTGGCGTTACACGGTGGGCCCTCAACTAGCTCAGCTCATATTCTTAGCTCTTTCGGTAAAGTCACGTTGAAGGGAAACAATAAAATAATAAAATATATATATAACAATAAAAAATTCTCACGACGTTTCGACCATAACACAAACGGTCGTCTTGCCGTTGGTTTTTCACACCTGATGATGACCGTTTGCGTTATGGTCGAAACGTCGTGAGAAATTTTTATTGTTTTATATATATATTTTATTATTTTATTGTTTCCCTTCAACGTGGTGACTTTACCGAAAGAGCTAAGAATATGAATTACTGCAGTCACGAAAGCTTTAAATCAACATTTAGCTCAGCTCAACCTAAATTGAGCGCCTCGTGTGGTCACTGAGAAGACAAAGCCGTCCCGGTGTGCATGGTCTTAGTCCTAACACATTCTACATTCTTATATTCTTGGCTCTTTCGGTAAAGTCACGTGTAGATAGAAAAAATAAATACAATTATTCTACATTGATCACGAGTGCTCGCTGACGGTGGGCCTACTGTGACAATGCTCAGGTTAAACCCTGGCGCTTAGTATTTATATACTTACAGGATTAATATTGTATTAAGCAATTAGATAGATTATTATATAAAAGTAGGTTTTACCCTCAATGGCTATAAAACAGTTGTGTTAACATGTCAAAACACCAAACGGAAACCTTTTGCAAACAAAAACATGCTCTGGTAATATGTGTATTGTCTTTGAAACTGATTGATCCACACCAGACTAGATAGAGCCTCGCTATGTCAATCAATATTGGTGGCAGGGTTTTTCAATAAGATAGTTATTTTAAGAAAATCGCCTCTGCTCACGTTACATTTTCCTAAACAGGAACCAGTCGATCAAACGGTTGGCATGCTCCAGTATAATAAAGACAAATATGTGACCATTTTTATTTTGCTGTATTATACAAATACTAAGCTGTACTACCCGGCTTCGCCCGGGACCTGGATCCACCACGCGCGGCCGCCTTTGTCTCCCCAGTGGCGATGCTCACACACCACAGGAGTTTACTCGTTTGATGCTGAGTCGACCTAGGGGAGGCCCAGGAGCGGTTAGAAATAATCGTTACCGGTGGTGGCCGTGAGCGGGAATCGAACTCGGGTCGCCGGGTTCGTAGCGCGGCGTAGCGCTAACCGCTACACTACAATGCGTTTTGACGTCACAGCTCACTAGCTGTGCAAACAAAATATGCATTATTGAGCTCCCCCCCCCCGCCCCCCCCCCCCCCAAAAAGTGCATTTTTTATAATTTTTGCATGGTGTACAGTCTGGAAAGTACCCACATGGCAAATTTCAAGTTTGTTGCATGTCGGGAAGTACGCTAAACATTTTGAACAGACACACATATTCACAACTTTGCCTTTTATAAATATGGAGATGTAACATTGCGGAATGAGCAAAGCACAGCAAATCGACTTACTGAATCCATCTGTGTGGAGATTTGTTATCTTGTCGTGTGCCAGAAAGAGTTTTCTGCCACACCAAGTCAAAAAAACTCGCTTTTGGCATTGGCCAAATATCCCAAGTTGGCAGGACCCTCCTGAAAAGAGTTGTGGGACTCGGTGAGACTCTCTTCGATGCATAAAATAACGTTACTATTATTTTAATTAAGCTGCTATATTGGTGCTGAGCAGGACGGGATTGTGGTTTTAATTGTTTTAACCGAGAGGGAGAAACATCATTTGTAATTGAATTTAAATATGATGCACGAATGATGGCGTCTGTATGTCTATGTGTTTGTTTGTTGTTGTTGTTGTTTATTGTTGTTGTTTGTTGTTGTTGTCAGTGTCAAAACGTTTCTGATCCGCACGTCACAGCCGACGATACCCACTGATTGAAAACTTTCTCCTTCGGGAACTTCGGTTTGCTACGAATCACGATCACACTCACAACTCCACTCCACGCTGGTCTTGCCCAGCTCCTTGTGTCGCCCCAGTGGCTGCCTAACATAGCTCACTGTAAGTGCAGGCACGCTTGTTCGCACACTTTTCATTATTATTATTATTTTTGTCTGCAATTCTCATCGTGAGTGTCCATGATATAACAAGTTCAAATTAGATGCGAGATAAGACAGAGACAAATGAAAATAAAATAAAAAGTTCCATGGAAAGACGAATATGTTTAATGTGCGCGTTTTAATATCAGTTGCTGCTGTGTGTGGAGCCATTGCAGACTCTGCCAAGGAATTCGATTTTCTGGGGGGAAACTGGAGCAGTCATCCGAGCTATGCACTTTTAAATCATCTAGATTGAAAACTCATTTCTTTAGAACTACTTTGTATGCTTAGTTTGTTGTCCTTCCCCGCACCTCCGATGACAATGGTTGGCTATACGTATGGTGCGAAAGAGGTTCAACATGCATACATTATGGAATGGCTTTGATGCACATACTGTATGTATGTTGAACTTCTTTTGCACCGTACGTAGCCAACCGTGCTGATGACAGAGCCGCAATCAGCACACTCCCGAGTTTTCAACTCGCGTGTCCACAACTTTTGTTAATCCATTTGCCGAGTGAAATCGTTGAATTCGGCGCTTCTCCCCCAGAATTTCGCTGGAGTCGAACTTTACATCCGTATTTGTGACGATCTTCAATTGTTTTGTTGTAGCGTATTTCTTTTTAC